TATATACTATATGTTCAACTGATATCTTGCATAATGTATATAACATATGTGTTATATGTAATATGTAATATATATATATATATATATATATATATATATATTTATTATGTAATATATATATATATATATACGTACAAAATATATATATATATATATTGTACGTAATGTGTGCTTCAGTAATATGTTAACTAATATCCTCCCTGTGAGCTACCTGGGCCACATAGTTACCATTTGTGCATACACACACGGGGTATGTATACAATTTGCAAATGCACACGCAATTCGATACACGCGCATAGACAGATTGCGACGCAAATCACCACCAACATTGATGGGAAAGTGGTTTCATCTAATTAAATCGATCATATTTTAAATACCGATTTCAATTGTTTTATTGTATTTTCAATATGTAGTTTAAAAAATAATTTTAGAAATGTTTGTTGGGTCAATCACATTACTTATAAGTTATTAATTTTACATTCAATTTTCTCTCGCAAATATATGTTCGAAAATATTAAAAAGTTATATAAAATTGTTTATATTATATTATATTCCAAATTGCGTATACGTCAAAAAGTCTACGCACAATACTTTACAATTAACTGTATATATATTTTTCGAGCTATTATATCAAGAAACGTGCTTTCACATGATAATATGTTTTATGTTATGATTATATAGTAATTGACATGATCGTTCTTGTTTTCGTAATTGCAGTAAGCGACGTAACTGATTACATTCATGAGGCTAATGCATCTCAAACAACAAACCACATAAATGAAAGTCACAAATGCATTTATGGAAAGGTATATCTCGTTCAACATTATACAAGTGCTTTGTATTATGATGCCTCAGTTAACTAGATTATGTTAATAACACTATTTAAGTATACAAAAAAAAAACGTATATATTTAGGATGCGCCAACAGTTTTTCGCGAGCAAGCCTCTTGTAAAAGTAATGTTCGATGAAAGATTTTTCTCCGCAAATATTTCCAGTTCGTATATAAAAACCAAATATGCTTTCAGCATTGGTATGTATTTTCTCAGGCAGATCAAGAATGGGACTATTTTATTTCTCTCAGAAAGCGAATAGAGATAGAGTGTTCTATTTCTTTTCAGAAGCAGCAAAAATTTTCCTGAAACGTTTCCAAATATACGTTTGCTGTAAAAACCACTGTAAATATTATCCTCGAAATCTAAATATATCGATAAGCACTCTGAAAAATAAGAATAAAAAAAAATGACGAGATCTTTGACAGGAAACGTCAATTCTCAAGGAAACATCAACTGATTAAAACAATATACCGCGCGTCAAACTATTATCTAATCTTGGATATTCATAAATCTATTGCAAATCAAACATTCGTACATGTTTGACGCGCCAAAACGAATCTCCCAAGTATTCAGCCGTTCGTGTCTCATACAAGACCAATAAAAATAAATTCGAGGAAACACTTAAGCATGAGGACTAGCCAGTCGCGAAATATCTTCGAACGAGTTTCGGTGGCGGTAGAAGGGACAAGTGCAAAAGGGAAATGGTGCTAAGGGAAGAGAAATACCGAAGAAGTTGGCGCGTACATTGCCGAGAGCCGGGCATTTTTGAAACGGGCGTTCGCGTGACTAGGTTGGTCGATGGTTCGGCGTCGTTCGCGAGAGAGACAGAGAGAAAGGTAGACGGAAGCGCGCGCGGAGTGAAAGCCAGACGCGAGAAAGAGAACGAGACAGAGAGAAAGAGGGTGGGCGTTCGAAGGGGTCGCGCGGGGGATGATGGTAGGTGTTCGTTCGTTCGGCGCTCCGGTTCTGGGGGAGGGCGCAGAGAGCGTACAGGAGAAGGCTGGTGGATCGATTCAGCCGCTCGAGTCGAGTCGAGACTACGCTTCGGGACTCCGCGTGCTCTGCTCTGCTCTGCTCTGCTCTGCTCTGCTCTGCGGCCTCTCCACACACGCGCACGCAAACCATATGCCCACACAGACACGCACAATCTTCCCCAAGGACGTGCGTGTGCGTGCAAAGACATCCGCGGACTGATCACCATTTCAACTTGCAAACGCAAGCAAAGAGAGCAAAGGGGAAACGGAGACGCGAATCGGAAAGAGGACGGAAGGGTTGGAAACTTTCTATGTTGACTTTCATCGGATTCGGCCCGATCTAGTTTTAGTCCGACGCGACTTTGGATTTTGTATCGCTATTCGCGATCGACTATCGTCGTTGATACGGACGAAAAATTGTCATTCGAGATTCGAGAGAAAATCAATGATGCATTTTAAAATTGATACTCTTCATATTCATGAGATAGGAGTGTCACACGGAATTTTTATTTAATAAACGCGTGCCTTATATTTTTTTCAAATTTTGAAATATTTATATTTTCATTATATAGGTACGTGATTTGCGTATTTAAATAGTTTCTTTTTTAAACTTATTTAACTTTCTACATTTAAGATGGATTTTAGAAAAATTCTATATTGAAAGGGAAAAAATATAAACTCAAAGTATCGAATAATGTTCCGAAAAATTAATAATACATCACATATATTAATTAATGTAATAATTAATGATATAATAATCGTTTTCGATGTCTAATAAAACAATTTAGAGAGTATGGGTATTTTTTTTTTTAATATTTTAAGATCATGTTAGAGAGCGACTCACTGAGCAAGCGAATAACTTAGTCAATTCCGGTTGTATTATCACTTTTCAAGTAACTCAATGAGACTAGTTCATTCGGCTGCTCACGCCTCGTTAGCGCCGAATAGGGAGCAGCATTATGAAGCAGAGCACCTCCGTGGAATAAAGTGTTTGCAGTCATTCAAAATGCATTCATCCGATTTTAATACTTAAGTAGTCGAATGAACAAAACTAGTTGGTGTATTGAAATATAAAAGAGCTGAATGTGTGTGGACGGAGAATTAAAAGAAGAGAAAATTAAAGAAGAAAATAAGCAAGCTTTACTTTGAAGTTGAACTAATTTCTTTACATTCACGCACACGCACACACATATAGGTATGCACATACTTACATTGACGAAATATTAAATGGGATGTCATTCTCTCTGTTTTCAGTGTAGTAAAGCCGGTCGCGGAAGGAAGTTACGTCCAATCGATCGAATTCACGGTGCAAATTGGTGCGTTGGGAAACAGGTATTTATAATAATAGAGTGTAATAGTAAACGTGCAATTTGCATGCTACACGTTATGAGCAGCGGGAGAATGCGGGGCATAATGTATAAACTTTAATTACGTCGCTTCAACTCGAAATTAGAATTGTACTTAAGTTTTAATTGGATCGATTGTCATTGTTGCAGTAAGGCAAACTTGTGCATCATGATTGGCTTTTCAATTTTAGAGTACTCGAATTGCGTTTGTGTTTCACTGAAACTATTATGCAGTTAGCGAAGAGAGTTCATAATAAACGTAATAAAGTTATGCAAAATGCACCCTCTCCCTTCCGACTCGCCTTAAAACACATCTGGTGGTGTTATCACGCCGATGAAACCGACGTATAAAAATCATAGTCCACGTTGCAAACTGTGAATAGCACCGTCTAGTTTTCGAGAAAATTATTTCCTACATTTTTCACGCGCGCACCGACATCTCTATTTTGCGGTTTCCGCGGCAGAAAAACGCGCAAGGCGTTCCCAGAAACCTGTTTCAGTTTCCGATCTGAGAATGAAAGTCTATTTTAAAGTCTATTTTACCATACTGGTTTCCATTTGGCGCGAGAATAAAAAAATGCGAAGTAGAACGCGTTTTCTACGTCCATCTGTAGATGGACTATATATAGCGATAGATGGAATACGCATGCAAATAAATCAGAAATAGCTGATATATTCACGCATATCTTTGAACAAATTCTTTTTTTTTTTTTTTTTTCCATTTTTTTTCATTTTCCACGCGTTTATCAACACACGCGAACGATATATAGATTCTATTCTCGAATACGTATCGATTTTCCGTTTGCGCACGCGAGAAAGGAATGCGAAATGCGCGCAGAAACGCGTTTTGACTCTCGATCCAGACTGCACCAATAAAACTACACAAAAAGTAACTGCAAGTAGTATATAGCAGCGATGCTTTCTCATGTTCGACTAAATGGGGTCGAGCTATCTTACATTATTCTTTCGCAGGTATATTAAACTCGCTTGTCAATGATTAAAAATTACAATTATTTCTAGTCTTTGAAAAAAAAAACAAAATAATAATAATACGAAAAAATCGAAATATATTAAAATGTGATTATTAATATATTAAAATATATTAAAACCACACTTTTGACCGGCGCGAGGGAAAAAGTTGCCGCTGTAAAACACGTCGAGACGTCTTACTCTTATTGCACACGATGGTGTTCCGTTGACGTTCACCGACCGACAGATGCATACTTGCCGTAGATATTGTCTCGTGTCTGAGGCAGCTGGCCGGGAATATTGAAATATTAATAGAATATCGATGAGAGAGAGGGATACGCGGAAGAGCCAGAGTATGAGAACTGCCGAAATTCGGTTACGACGGCTCGCCGCGGGCCGGTTCGCGAAATTTCGGCCGATTATATCCGACCTGTTTTCGTATTACGATCTGTAATCGAATTTTTTTATACAGACGCACATGCACTTGCTGCGAGAGCGATGTTCGCGACATTAGAACTATACGTGGAACACCCACGACAATAAAAATAAAGTCAATTTTGAAAAGCTTTTTGACATTATTTAAATTCATCATTAATTTACTTTTGCAATATTTAGTTAAAGATCTTTATTTTCGACTGTTAATTATTCAAAAATTATATAGATATCTCAATTATCTTTTTTGAAAAAATCGAACATATCCAAGCCGAAAATCATTAGAAAATAATAATTAGCATAGATTCTGATTAACACTGACAAGCTTCAGGTGAGCACCAGACATAAGTATACACTTTTCAAGAAAAATTGCAACACACTTCGCAAATTATTATTTCGCGTTATTGCAATACTTCGTACTGATAAAAAAGTTTTTCATACATACATAATGCGTGGCTCGTGTCTTTAAATCTGATCTTCGATTATTTTATGATGCATTTGATGACGCTATTCCTCAGATGAAGGGCGAATGTTTTCCCTGCAACAAGAATAGCATGGATCAGTCATACGGTAATATGATTATTATAGTAACAAATCATTTGTCAGGAGTAAGAGAAAAGAGCTCGAGAAGAAGAGCCCTTTTACGCTCATCAGTATCAGATCAAGATATACAACAATCGCAACAAGAGGTCCGTCAAGACCTATGACAAGCTTCAAATGAGCACCAGAGATAAATATTTTCTGCGAGCAGTGCAACTAGAATTAATTCGACTCCTTCTTTTGCAAATTTTTAATATATTCGCAATGTCTCGCATATTTACCATTTTTAATTAAAAATTATTATTTTATCTTTGTTGCCAATAATATTTATTACGAATCTGTTTTACTTTGGATGTCATTTATTAGACAAGTAGCTGACAAATCGTATACGTAAATTTTGAAGACAAAATTTCAGTCTTTGCTGTCTTTTAGGTCATGCTTGTGGGAAAAGTCTTATTAATGGCACATTCGCGACGACACGCAAGCACAAACAACTTTTAGTAGGAACCATATTAAAGAAAATTGTGCCTCATCCTACGATCACTAATCTTGAAGCAAATTATGATATGCGCATTTGTTTTATCTTTGCCTTGAGCATTAAATTGATATGAATAGATGCATGAATACAATTAAATGCGCGATTCTTTTTTTATTATGCTCTTTGTAAAACGATATTGCAAATTAAAAAATTCTACTCTTTGTTATATCAAAATTGATCGTAGAATTAAAGTTTAACATTTTTAAGTATAGAAGTTTAAGAATAATTATATATATATAACTAAATTACTCCCGATCTTATTATTATAAATTAGAGAGTAAATTTTATATGTAATTTAGAATTGAAGATCCTATTGAAAGGGGGCGAAATAATGCAAATCGCTTCGGGTCGTCGCTCGCGGCGGCACGATTAGCAAGGGCGCACAATATCGATCGAATAGCGAGCAGGTTTCAATTATTAAACATGCGTTTAGCACGTCCGCCTGAGTGGCCGAGTACGTTTTATCGCGAGAAAACTTTTGGAGTGGTTTGTTTCGGAAGGGGAGGGAGAATTATTTTCGAGAGAAAATAAAATACAGAATGAGTTCTGTATTCGCGCGGTACACATGCGAAATACGTTCAGAATTAGAAAATGGGAAAGGATAATATAATTTATAAGATCTATTTGCAAAATTAAACAACTATATATATAATAATATAAAAAGGAGAGCTTTTAAAATTTAGTGGTTCTTGATTTATACTATATAGATTATCTGATTTTTCAAGTACTATATTAATAGTTGAAGCGATTAGATAATGGTAGCTAATAAAATATTAAAAAAATTAATAATTACAACGCGAATAATATTCCTCGCATATCTCGGTCTGACGTGAAGGATTATCGCGACAGACTGCTGTTGCTCGGACATCGTATACGCTTTACGACTGTAAACCTGAACAATGCGCAGATGGTCCGATTTCGTCAATGGATAATCTTGTTGATTTCACAAGATATAACGTAATCGTACCGTGCACATTGCGGACGGGAGATGATTCTATCAGATTCGGCTGCAGATCCTTTGTTGCGCCCGCCTTGCGTGCGTATCCTCAGGACTCAGGAGAACCAACTGTTACCGCTTTTAAAGACTCCTTTAAAAATTCTAAACTCATTTCGTTAACGACAAATTGAATTTTTTTAACGATTCGCCTTTATTTTTTAGATCGCGACGCGAATTAAAATTAACACGGAGAAAGAAAATTGAGTTGATGTCCACGTTGACATAATTCTCTGACATAAACTGCAATAATGTCTGAAAATTCATATAAAGAAGGAAAAGAAAATTAATACCGTGCGCGCACATTTCTACGAATTTTGACGAGTTTGAATGTTTTTTCATAACAAAGTTAAATAAGTAATCGACCGTACTCTAGAATTTCTCGGAACAATCGCGACCTAGCGGTTTGCACGACGACGTCTTCCGCAAACGCGCGAACATCCCTCCCCTCGTTTCTCTCGCATCATCCCCTCCTCGGGAGATCTCGATGGGGAATCCCTCCCTCCCGTTGACTCGTGGCGAAACTCGCTCGGCATTCGGCGTCAGCGTCTTGAATGGTGACAAACGGCATGCACCGCGAAACACACAATCGCGCCGTGGTGGCTGCGACTGCAGGTACGATCGGGGAGAATCGGAGAGGGGGAGTGGGGGGGAGGGAGAGGGTGCGGAGGCTGACTGCAGCGCGCGAGCAATGCGGCTGTGCACCCCCCGGTGCAGCGACGTACAGTTGACAGAAGCGCTTACGGAGGCGAGAGAGATCGTAGCGGAGTACGTTCGCCTCTCCGTCTTCATCCCTCTCTCACCCCTTTGCATCCGCTCCGTTTCCACGCTTGTGCGTGCGTGCTCGCGCGCATTCAAGCATACGTGCTACAGGGTGGCGCGCGTATACTCACGGGTCGATTGCGTGCGAAAGCCCGCACGCGTAAATTGAGGGAGTAAACATTATATATATATATATATATATATATAATATATGTGTGTGTGTCAGCTACTTGTCTAATAAATGACATCCAAAGTAAAACAGATTCGTAATAAATATTATTGGCCACAAAGATAAAATAATTTTTAATTAAAAATGGTAAATATGCGAGACATTGCGAATATATTAAAAATTTGGAAAAGAAGGAGTCGATATATATATGTGCGTTAGATTTTTATAAGAAAGTCGCGTCGAACTAATTAAATGAATTATGAAATAAGAAGGAAAACTTGCACTCTCTGTCTCTTTCGTGAGGTTAAATATATGTTTTTTTCTGTCTCTTCACAAACACATAGATCCATTTCACGTTACGCGATTGCGCGAATAAGAATGGGAAATATATGAGAGAAAACGGTTGAAAAAAAAAGCATGAAGCAATGAGAAAGTAAGAAATAATGTACGAGATGGGGATTTCAAGAGAGGGATCGCGCAAGTGTAACACGAAAGACGATCGTATTTCTTCTGTGACATCGTTTTATGCGCATATGCACATACGTACAAGAAGGTAGATTTACGATAGTTGCGCGCTGATGTAAACTCAGGAATTACAGTTTAATCGAAAATGTATTCTCCCGATTGGCGAAATTCATTCATTCTAGTGTTACATATACAATGTATATAAATATATATATATATGTGTATGTATATAGGCATTGCAATCTCGTGTTGTAATGTTTTATTAATTAAAACTTTTGGCGGGATAAATTGCGAAATACTTAAGCACAAGCAGTAATAAAACGGTTGCGGTTGATGCTAATGAAACACACAGTGGAACGAACATTCGTAATAAGCGGTGGCTGCCGAAAACGGAGCGTAACGGGGCGTTGTTACTTTGCGACGGTATATATCGCGAGATGTATTTTACAGTCGGAAGATATTAAACATTCTGGTCTTTTGCCATTCTAGAACGTGGTCTGTAATTTTTCTAACGAGCTACGCTACAAGCACGAACTTGCGGACTTTATTTTCGAGGATGCTGCCAGAACCGCATTTCACGCGTAATTAAATCTTTCAGAATTCTGTGACACTCAAGAATGGCGCGTTTAAAACTTCTGTTATTGAAATATTTTTATTCCAAAATAAAATACCAGTATAAATGTCCATATTAAAAAACTATGTATAAATCGCATAATAATTTTATTACTAAATGCAGACAATTATTAATATTTTAACTATAAATAATTATATCGATTTCAAAAATGATAATTAAATGTTATTCTATTTGATTGAAATTCAGAATGAAAATTGCGATTGAAAAATAGAGATATAGCAACATCGTGTTAATAACGCAATTTACAATTGCATATTCTCTACGGAATGCATAGGAATGATAATATTGGAATACTGTCGCGCTTGCACCTTGAGAATTCGACATTCGATGTAAACGTCATAGGGAGAATACCTGTAATAATTGAGATACCTATCTAATCAGCAGAGATACGTAAGTCCACTAATATACCCTATGTACTCCCAAATGAAGCGCGAGACAATGTATTGGTTACAACTTAAGTTATACTACTCACTGGCACGGAGTTATTATCACTCGTCGGCGAGACATGCGACATGCGGATTAACCGTAACAGAGCAACGATAAGAGAATACTTGCATCTCGCGAGAGCGTGCTTATGCTGCGTAATTACCCGCGAGAGTAATCGCAATCAACGCCTCTCGCACACGATCGACATTACAGTTCAACAACTCGACTCTCGGCGTTTCTCTATTGTCCTGCCGTCTAATGCGTCCTTCTCTTCCTACCAGCCTCTCGAAAACATAATACGCAGTAGTCGCGCCGCAGATAAGAGCTGCGTAATGCGCGTAATCGTTTGATGACGAACAAAGAGTGCTCCCCACGCGATCGTCGTCAAAGCGATTATTATCGCGGACGAGTATTTTGCGGAATCGATCGCGAAATGCGTACGTGGACGAATAGCTAGACTAATTAGACAATCGGACGTTACTCGAGAAGCAGAAGCGGCTCTAACGAGCGACGTTGACCGCGATACGCCGATTGCGGAAACGATTAGCTAACAAGACCGCTTTCGGAGAACGTACTCGCTTAAAATCAATCGCCGAAGCGGATTATTAACGAGCGACAGATCGTCGACTATCGACAGACTGACAATGAATGACGCAGTCTCTCTCAATTCATGCTATCTTCCAAAAAATTATTGAAATTTAATACATAGATTTTTTTGACATAAATATAGAATTTTCAAAGATCTTTTATATACATAGATTCCCTTAATAATTGTGATTGATATTTTTTTTTTAATCAATTATTAAACAAATCATTTAGTAATCGTCAATAAAATGATAAAATTTTTAAACGGTTGTACGTCTGTATAAAAGACCAAAATAAAGAATGCAAAAGCATATTTATTTATGCAAAATCGAAACACGAAATAGCGTTTAGAATAACATCCGAAATCTCAATGGTAAACGAGCCGACTCTGAGAACGAGAAGGGCCACCCTTTGCGATGGTAATA